AGAAGATGACGCCAATTTTCGAAGGCAGCTTTAACACTTAATAATTCTTTTTCACCAATAGGATAATTTTTTTCAGCAGAGCTCAAGGATCTTGAAAAAAAGGCAACTGGATGAAGTGGATCTTGTGGAGTCTTTTGTTGAGAAAGAACTGCTCCGATGGCTGCATCTGATGCATCAACTTCAAGAACATATAGGAATGTTGGATTAGGTAGTTGTAGAATAGGTGCAGTTGTAAATCTTTTTTTTAATTCGTCGAAGGCTGTTTGTGCATCTTTATTCCAATTAAAAGGACGTTTACTACTGTTGAGGAGGTTAAGAGGATGTGATACATCCGAATAGTTTCTAATAAATTTTCTATAGAAGTTTGCAAATCCAAGAAAACGTTGTAATTCTTTTGTAGTAGTAGGAGCAGGCCAATCAATAATACATTTGATTTTGGAATTATCCATCTTCAAAGAATGAGGTGAAATAATGTATCCTAGAAAAGAGAATTCAGTAACCTCAAAAAGGCATTTTTCTGGTTTAGCGTATAATTTATGAGTTCTCAGTCTAGATAGAACCCATCTAACATGCTTCCTATGTTCATCCAAATTGTTAGAATATATTAAGATATCATCTAAGTAGATAATAACACATACATCCAGAAGATCTCTAAAGATATCATTGATAAAATGTTGAAACGTTGCAGGGGCATTACAGAGCCCGAAAGGCATCACTAGATATTCGTAGAGACCATATCTTGTCCGGAAGGCGGTTTTCCATTCATCATCCTGTTTTATTCTAATGAGGTTATATGCGCCTCGAAGGTCGAGTTTAGTGAATATAGTTGCAGTTCTTAACCTTTCAATTAATTCATTTATTAGTGGAAGAGGATAACGATTTTTAATAGTTATTTTATTTAAGGCTCTGTAATCTATAATAGGACGGATGGTTTGGTCTTTATTCTTCACAAAGAAAATACTAGAAGCAGCAGGAGAGGTCGAGGGTCTGATGAACCCTTTGCGTAAATTTTCATTAAGATATTCTTTTAAAATTTCTAACTCCTTTTCAGAGAGTGGATAAATATGACCATAAGGAATAGGAGCTCCGGGTATGAGATCTATTGGGCAATCATATAGCCGATGAGGAGGAAGTGTTTCCGCTTCTTTTTTACAAAAGACATCTGCAAAATCGGAGTAGAATGGAGGTATAACTGGTTCTACAGTAGTTTGGAGAATAGGAATGTGTTGTAAGCACGTTTTTTTACAGAAATCAGAAGCAAAGGAGATGGAGAAGGGAGACCACTTAATTAAAGGATCATGGTTTTTTAACCAATTAATTCCTAGAATGACGGGATAAAGTGGAGATTTAATAATATCAAATGTAATGAATTCGAAATGTACGTTGTTGGTAATCATTCTTAGAGGGATTGTTTCATCTTTGATGGGTCCTGAGGATATAAATGAACCGTCAATAACTCTGATTGGAATAAAATTGGTTTTTTGAACACAAGGAATTTTATTTTTTGAAACAAAAGAAAAATCAAGAAAAGTTCCATTAGCACCAGAATCAATGATGGCCTCAGTCACGATTCTTTTTGTATCCCACTGTAATATGAGAGATATAGAAAAATAAGTAGATGCTTTTCTTTTTTGAAAAACGTTCAATATAGAGGTAGATGAATGAAGCTTACCACCTTTTGAATGTTTCAGTAGAGGACATTCGGAAATTAGATGTTCATTCGAAGCACAATACATACATAAGTTTAGTTGTCTCCTTCTTATTCTTTCTTCAGAAGTAAGAGGACTTTTTATTATACCTACTTCCATAGGTTCAGTTTGTGGAGGAATTTTTTCAGGTAGTTTTAGAGTAGTGAAAGGTTTTCTCCAGGTAGAATTAGTAAGAACCCTTTCAGCTTTTCTTTCTCTTAGACGTCTATCAATACTGATAGACAGTTGAATCAATGCATTTAAGGTAGGAGGAAGTTCTGTACGAGAGAGTTCATCTTTCACAGCTTCAGATAATCCGAGACGGAATTGATTGCGTAAAGTAATGTCATTCCATTGGGTTTCTGTAGCCCATCTTTTGAATTCTGCAATATAATCTTCAACAGGTCTATTCTTTTGGTGTAATGTTCTGATGGTTAAATCAGCAGTAGTTTGTTTAAAAGGATCTTCATATAATAAAGACATAGCTTCAAAGAACTCATCCAATGAATCCAATATGGGATCATCATTTTCCAAAAAGGAATGGGCCCATGCCATAGGTTCACCTCTTAAAAAAGAGATCACTGAACAGACTTTGGATCTTTCGGTGGGATAAGATCTAGGTTTTAAAGCAATTAGTAGTTTGCAAGAATTCAAAAACTCTCTGTACTTTGTTCTATCTCCATGAAATTTTTCTGGATTACAGACAGCAGGATCACCAGCCGATTGAAGAGCGGCATGAGGAAGATGACCTTGAATGTCTCTAACATAGGTTAATATTCTCTCATTTGTAATTTGCAGTTCCTGTAACCCTTGAGCAATCGTATCCACTCTATTGGTTAGGGCAGAAACTTGAGAGTTAATATCTGCTGGTTCCATTGAGATGGCTGAATTATTCTGTAATATTTATTTTGTAATATTTCTTTAATTGGAACTCAACTGCAGCATTTCTTGGTTGCAACAACAATAAGGTTCACCTCCTTTTATATTGGTATGAAACTATGGTCACTGTACCTTTAAATATCCATGTAGGTAAAATTAGGCTTTGTAGCAATCCCTTATGAGTAAGAGGAATAATTAGACAAAGTGACACTTTAGTGAGTTTTAGATACTGTGTAATATAAATAATAGTAATTGACTTGTTTGGTAAAAGTATTACTTAACTTAAAGGCAGTTCTGGCACTGGAAGGGTTAATTCACCCAATGAAGGAGAAATTAGAAGTCCGTTTCAACAAGCTGAGAACTAGGAGTGGAGAGTGGGGAAGTCCGTTTTAACAAGCCGAGGTCTGGGAGTGGAGAAGGTAGAATTCAGAGTTACAAGCCGAGGTCTAGGAGTGGAGAAGGTAGAAATCCGTTTACAAGCCGAGGTCGAGAAGTGGAGAAGGTAGAAATCCGTTTACTAGCCGAGGTATAGAAGTGGAGCAGGTAGGATCAGAAGTAGAGCAGCTGATCTTCATGCAGCACCTGTGCGAATAATTCAGCCCTTTGAATCTGGCGCGGTCCTCCTAAGTATCGTGGAGGGACCGCGTCAGAGAAAGGGGCGGGGCTGAGCGCCGTGAACCCGGAAGTGGGTTCCGGCGATAAATTACATGCCATGCTATACCTGACACAATCATGTTTATTTATTCAGGAGCCTGACTGCCCTCAACATGTCCAAACCTCTGAGTGGTGCTCAGAAACGGAAGAAGAAGCAGGAGTTGGAGGAAAAAATATGTAGCATTCCAAAAATAACTGGTTTTCTTTTACCTACAAGTGGATCTTCTGCACAGCCTTCTGCGTGTGGATCTTCTAAAGAACATGCTAGTACATGTTCTCAGGAAGAGATTCCTCCTCAAAGTGTATCTGAATATGGCTCTGAAGCTGACACAGTGGATTCTTCTGATCAGCCCATGCCACTGAAGCAGTTGATATACTGCCAAAATCCATGGAAAAGTCAGGTTTCCTTACTGACATTGGTTTGTGGCCCAACTCATGTACTCTTGAGATGCAGAAGTATTGGTCCAAAAATGGAAATTCGTCAGTAAGGAAACCTCTGGAACAACTGCGCAATGAAGGATTTCCAAAATCATTTAAAGATGGACGTTGCTGTACAGCAGATATGTTTCTTCATAACTGTCCCAATGGGGACAAAGTTGAAAGGAAGTGGCTTTGTTACTCAAATAACAGAGGCCGAATATACTGTTTTGACTGCAAATTATTTAGTTCATCAACAAATGCATTTTCCAGTGATGGCTTCAGCGACAAAAAACATGCCAGTGAACGAATTTCATCCCATGAACAGTTTCAACATCATATACGCGCTATGATTGATACAGCCAAATTTTCAAAACTGGAAGGTCGGATTGACTATAAAATGCAACAGCAGATTGAAGAGCTGACCACCTATGGGCAAAACCTAGTAAAACGTTTGCTTAGTGTCATCAATTTTATTGCTGAGAGAGGCTTTTAGAGGTGATGATCAGACTATTGGATCCCCACATAATGGCAACTATCTCGGTATTTTGGAATTACTGTCAGAGTATGATGATTTCCTAGCACAACACATCCAAACAAAGGCAAAGGATGTACAAGTTATTTATCAGCAAATGTCTGTGAGGAACTCATACAAATTACTGGGGATAAGATCTTAGAAGTTGTCGTCAACCGTATTAAAATGGCAAAATACTACTCTGTTTCTGTGGATTCAGTGGAGGATTCTTCTCATACTGACCAACTCACCGTGATTTTTCAATACTAAGAAGAAAATCGACCTGTGGAGCGTTTTGTTACTTTTTTACCCTCAACAGGGCATAAAGGAGAAGAAATGGCAGATACGCTCCTAGCATTTCTTAATAGTGTTGGACTTACCATACAAGAATGCCATGAACAAAGTTACGACAATGCAAGCAACATGTCTGGCCACTACAAGGGTATGCAAGCAAGAATTGTTAACATGAATAAAGATGTTAAGTACATACCTTGTTTTGGACACTCATTAAATCTTGTTGGAAAGGATGCTGCAAATTCGTGTAGTGAGGCTGTAAGATTTTTTTAATTTTGTACAAGCTCTTTATACATTCTTGAGTGGTTCAACTCGGCGCTACAAGAAGCTTAAAGACAAGCTTGACGAGAAAGGCCTCTCTGTGTCCATGCCAAAACAGCTAAGTGACACAAGCTGGTCATGTCGTGCAGATGCTTGTCAAGCATTAGTCCATGGCTATGACAATATAATGGACATTTTGTTTGAATTTTCAACTGACATTGAAGAAAAATCTGAGTGCTGTAATACCGCAAAGGGACTATTTGATCAGATAAGCAAACTTGAGACGGGGATTTATGTGGGGATTCTGGAACACGTTTTTGCAGCGTTTCAACAGCAGCAGCAAAACTTTGCAGTCTGTTCAGCTGAACCTAAATGCTGCTGTTGGCGTTTTGAAATCGTTAAAAGATTTTATTAATGAACAGCATACTAAATTTGATGCTTTTGAAGAAGCTGGTAAGCGTTTAACAGATACTGAGGAGTATGTTGTGGAACACCACCATCTTCAACGTCGGAATGTCCGTCAGCAGCCACTTGACTATGGACACAGTGAAGAAGCTTTTATACTAAGGCCTTTTTCCCATGTGTTGACAAACTTTTAATGTGTCTGGAACATTGCCTAGGAGCCTACAGTGAAGTGTGTGATTTATTTGGTTTCTTTATAAACTTTCCAGCGATGGACTCTGAATCCATTAACATTGCAGCAGAAAAGTTGTCTGCTTTCTACAAGCATGATCTGGGCACAACATTTGGTGATGAACTAATTCAATTTCAGTCATTCATTTCTCTTTTCCTGGATGAAAAACCAGACGATTGCAGCATAGAGCAATTCATGTACAGTACAATTAATGACAAGGATGTAAGAGATACTTTTCCGAACACAGAAATTGCTTTAAAACTCTACCTTACTTTAATGATCACTAACAGTTCAGGTGAACGATCATTTTCAAAAATGAAATTGATAAAAAGCTTACAATGCACAATCATGAGCCAGAGCCGTCTCACCAAACTATCTATAATGTCTGCTGAATCTGATATACTTCGCGGTCTTGATTTTTCTTTTTTTAATTCTTTATTTATTCCAAGGCAAGACGCCACATGAAATCATACATTACAACAGGGTTATAAATAGAATTCTGAAGACATATCCAAGTTGGCACGAGGTGAACAAGCGTGCGTTTTTATAGAAACAAACTTCAACATAGTGCAGCAAACTGTTGTGTGTCAACTGTCTGTACATCAGTGGTGCCCAGTCAGGTTTTTTGATAAAGGGTAAAACAGTGAGAAGCTGACCAACCATTGTGAGCAGGACCCTAACATCCAGTGCCTAGGTTTGTCAACCTACAGTTGCAAGAAAAAGTATGTGAACCCTTTGGAATGATATGGATTTCTGCATAAATTGGTCATAAAATGTGATCTGATCATCATCTAAGTCACAACAATAAACAATCACAGTCTGCTTAAACTAATAACACACAAAGAATGAAATGTTGCCATGTTTTTATTGAACACACCATGTAAACATTCACAGTGCAGGTGGAAAAAGTATGTGAACCCCTAGACTAATGACATCTCCAAGAGTTAATTGGAGTGAGATGTCAGCCAACTGGAGTCCAATCAATGAGATGAGATTGGAGGTGTTGGTTACAGCTGCCCTGCCCTATAAAAAACACACACCAGTTCTGGGTTTGCTTTTCACAAGAAGCATTGCCTGATGTGAATGATGCCTCGCACAAAAGAGCTCTCAGAAGACCTACGATTAAGAATTGTTGACTTGCATAAAGCTGGAAAGGGTTATAAAAGTATCTCCAAAAGCTTTGCTGTTCATCAGTCCACGGTAAGACAAATTGTCTATAAATGGAGAAAGTTCAGCACTGCTGCTACTCTCCCTAGGAGTGGCCGTCCTGTAAAGATGACTGCAAGAGCACAGCGCAGACTGCTCAATGAGGTGAAGAAGAATCCTAGAGTGTCAGCTAAAGACTTACAAAAGTCACTGGCAAATGCTAACATCCCTGTTAGCGAATCTACAATACGTAAAACACTAAACAAGAATGGATTTCATGGGAGGATACCACAGAGGAAGCCACTGCTGTCCAAACAAAACATTACTGCACGTTTACAGTTTGCACAAGAGCACCTGGATGTTCCACAGCAGTACTGGCAAAATATTCTGTGGACAGATGAAACCAAAGTTGAGTTGTTTGGAAGAAACACACAACACTATGTGTGGCGAAAAAAGGCACAGCACACCACCATCAAAACCTCATCCCAACTGTGAAGTATGGTGGTGGTGGCATCATGGTTTGGGGCTGCTTTGCTGCATCAGGGCCTGGACAGATTGCTATCATCGAAGGAAAAATTGAATTCCCAAGTTTATTAAGACATGTTGCAGGAGAACTTAAGGCCATCTGTCTACCAGCTGAAGCTCAACAGAAGATGGGTGTTGCAACAGGACAATGACCCAAAGCATAGAAGTAAATCAACAACAGAATGGCTTAAACAGAAGAAAATACGCCTTCTGAAGTGGCCCAGTCAGAGTCCTGACCTCAGCCCGATTGAGATGCTGTGGCATGACCTCAAGAAAGCGATTCACACCAGACATCCCAAGAATATTGCTGAACTGAAACAGTTCTGTAAAGAGGAATGGTCAAGAATTACTCCTGACCGTTGTGCACGTCTGATCTGCAACTACAGGAAACGTTTGGTTGAAGTTATTGCTGCCAAAGGAGGTTCAACCAGTTATTAAATCCAAGGGTTAACATACTTTTTCCACCTGCACTGTGAATGTTTACATGGTGTGTTCAATAAAAACATGGCAACATTTCATTCTTTGTGTGTTTAGTTTAAGCAGACTGTGATTGTCTATTGTTGTGACTTAGATGATGATCAGATCACATTTTATGACCAATTTGTGCAGAAATCCAGATCATTCCAAAGGGTTCACATATTTTTTCTTGCAAATGTATATAGTTCTCTGGTGGGATCGTAGCAATCTAGATAACTAGCTCAGCTTTTAGTGTCACCAGTGTTGCGTTACCAGTTTAATGTTATTGCGGTCTTGATTTTTCCAACATTACAAAGACCTTTGCTGCTCACAAAGCACGTAGACTCATGGTTTAAATTGCACTAAAATATTTATTTACTATTATATGTAAAAGTTCTCTGCACTTTACGTTAATGGTTCTCTGCACTTTACGTTAATGGTTGTTAAACTATGTATTCTTTTATAATAGTTTGCTACTGCAGCAGTTGGTGCCTAACAGGAATTATAATAAGGTTGACCATGTAACACTGGTACTTGATTCCCTATTCTCCATTTTGTAATGGGAAATGTGCACTTGGATTCTACAATAAGGTTTAATATTGTTTATTTAATTGCATTGTTAATTGTTGTATTTTTTTTTTGTATGTGATATTACTAGCCAACATGGTTATTTGTTTTAGAATTTAAACATAATATGTTGATTTGCACTGTTACTGAAAGATATTGTTATTATGCTTGTTTTTCCAACAACGTATAACTGTTAATAAAAATATACCATAAGACCGAGGTTAAAAGAAGCTACAGGTGGCAAGTAGGTCAAGCTAAGGACTTATTTGTGAACCAGTTCTTTATGTTTACATTATTAAAGTTTACTACTCTACGAAGTGTGTGTGGTTTGTTTGTTTTTTTGGTGTGTGTGTTGTGGTGGAGGGCGTGATTACATGCAAGGGTGTGGGAAGGCGGGATCCAGGGGGCACAAGTAAATTCTTGCCCAGGGTCCAATCAATATTAAAGACGACCCTGCTGGTGGTAGCCTTTGTGGTTAAACGGTTTAGGAATGGTTTATCCCCTTAAGGTACGCGAACACCTGGGGCCTCCTGACACCATAACAACTTAATTTAGATGAATCTTGTAGGGTGACCGGAGAGTTCCTTTAAGTAACCTGGAGGCAATAGTTGCCCCCAAAACCAAACGAAAACAACAAGAACAAAAAAACTGTCATTGGCACTTGGTTATTTGTTGGGGTTACTACTCATCAGATCTTATTTATAGGGGCTCCCAAAATACACACGTACCAAAACTATCACTTTTTGAATGCATTATGGAAAAAATGCATTTATACAGCTTGCCCGAAATTGGGTCATGCAACGGGACAGTCAAAAGCACACCAGCAAATCTACAACAGAATAGCTGCAGGAAAAAAAGAATGAAGGTGTTTCAATGTCCCAGTCAAAGTCCAGATCTCAACCCTATAGAAATGCTGTGGCGGGACCTTAAGAGAGCTGTGCATAAACAAATGCCAACCAACCTCAAAATACTGGACCAACATTGTAAAGAAGAGTGGGTCAAAATTCCTCCACAACGATGCGATAGACTGATAAAATCATACAGAAAAAGATAACTTTAAGTTATTGCTGCTAAAGGTGATTCTACAAGCTGTTGAGTCATAAGGTGTACTTCGTTTTTCACACATGACTTCTCCATTCTGACTTTGTTTGTTAATTAAATCATGTCATGTGTAATATACCATGTATTGTTGTTCATCTGAGGTTGTATTTAACCAATTTTAAAACCTGATAAGGAACAGATAATTGTTATATTCGAATATGTAAAATCATAGAATTCAAATTTTTTCACCCCATGACTGTGTATATGGAGGCTGAATCAGTACATATAGTTAAAATAGTTTTGCATTTTATTCGCTTATAGGCCTGCAATTGGCGATTACGGTTATTTATACAGTACCAATGAGCCACGTACAACAAGACAAACTTTTCGAACAAAATACAGATTAAGGAACAGTGCACACACAAAAATAATAAAAATTTGCATTGAACACAGCTACTTAAAATCACATATATCCGCAAACAAATATGTGGATTCAGTTACACCATATGGCCATATTGTGTTAAGCCGAGTAGCCCACCACTACATCACAGTACCCCAATATCGGTGGTCCCTACACTAATTTTAACAAAGGAGATTAAAATGCTAAATGCAATATATACTCCCTAATCTGCTTCCATAAACTCTCTTACATTTATACTTTTCTGTGGTCACCTATAATGGGACAACTATAGTGGATGGGTGGGGTGCTCTGCCCAATAGAAATCTGGTCTGGATTCCAAATCTACACTGATTTGAGTGCTGTTCCTTAATCTGTATTTTGGTCTTTACGGAAGCATCACTACATAGAAATGCATGTTGCGGATGTGCCTCCGATTCCCTTTTTTTCTGCGTAGATTTGGAATTCCCTTTTTTTTCTGAAACAATTCTAACAAAACAGGTTTGGCATGAGGGAACAGTAGGTGATCAGGGCTCTGCCCAAACACGTTTACAAGGTAATCATGCTTAGAAATAATGCCTTCTAGGGATATTTCATTATGATAATGTGAAGCTACGCATGAGGGGTTTAATTGGAGTTGATGTTTTAATGCTGATCTGCCCCTGAACAGAAAACATTAGAAAAAGGGTTATTCCAATCCAGTGCTATCTTAACAGCATTATGGACCCCTGGGCAAAGCCGTGCACTGGGGCCCTGCCTACACAACAACTCACAGGAATAATAATGTAAATTATTGATAAAATTAGGCTTAGATGATGGTACCTTCACCAAAT